ATTTTTCTGGGGAATTCTGGGAGTCGAAGTCCACGCATCTCAAAGCATTTTTCTGGGGAATTCTGGGAGTCGAAGTCCACGCATCTCAAAGCATTTTTCTGGGAAATTCTGGGAGTCCAAGTCTTGAAGTCCATCCATTTTCAAGTTTCCCGCCTGACTCTAGGATATTCCGTTTCAATTCCCTAGAATTCCTGCAATTACAGATCCCCAAATTCAGCTTTGGGGAATAGAAGTTATGCCGTCGAGCTTTGGAAAGAAATGTCTGCTTCTAGCTCCATTTGTATTTTTCCTGAAAAATAGGTTTCTTTCGTACCCGATGGCACATGAGGAACTTCCTTAAGCCTCATTGTCGGAGCGAGGGGAAAACAATCATTCACAATCCACGTTTCTCTCTTTGCTGGCAGGATCTCTGCGGACGCTCCAGCTGTGGTACCCTGGGCATGGCAGATGTGGGCACGGTCTGTGACCCGGCCCGCAGTTGTTCCATAGTTGAGGATGATGGGCTTCAGTCGGCCTTCACTGCGGCCCATGAATTGGGTAAGTGGGATCAGATTGACAGCTAACCCTAATCCGAATAAACGAAGTGGCTTCACTCCGGTTAAATCAAACTGGGCTTTTATTGGGCAGTTCTCCAGCTTGAAATAAACCAGACAACCTCTTAGAACTAAGGAGAAATTTCCTGAGAGTGAGAACAATTCACCAGTGGAACTCCTTGCCTCCAGAAGTTGTGGGTGCTTCGCATTTTAAGAAGAGATTGGGCAGTTCACAGTGGTGTAGGGTCTCCTGCTTGAGTGGGGGCTTGGACTAGATGACCTCCAAAGTCCCTTCGGACTCTGTTATTCGGACAAACATCCATGAGATTTATTGTTAGGGAAATGCCTATCAGATCACAGCTTTAGGTGAGAGCGATAGCCTCGTTTTTACTGTCCTTATCAGGATGCTATCTCTCGATGCGGTGAAAGGAAGGAAGGGTGGAAAAACAAGATACATTTCTTTGGCTGAGAGAGAAAGAGGTGAATGAAAAAGAGGAAGAGAAAATGGAGATGGAGGAGGAGCGAAAGAGAGAGAGAAAAGGAATGAAAAAGAGAGAAAGAAAGAAAAGAGAGAAAGAGAAGGGAGAGAACGATAGAGAGAGGAAGAGGGGGAGAAAGAGAGAGAAGGAGAAGGAGAGAAAGAGAAGGAGAGAGAGAAAGAATGAGAGAGAGAGAGAAAGAAGGGTAAGAAGAGAGAAGGAGAAGGAGAGAAAGAGAAGGAGAAAGAGAGAGAGAGAAGGGAGAGAGTGATAGAGAGAGAAAAAGAAAGGGAGAGGGGGAGAGAAAAAGAGAAAAAGGAGAAAGAGGGAGAAGGAAAAGGAGAGAAAGAGAAAGAGAAGGAGAAAGAAAGAGAAGGGAGAGAGCGTTAGAGAGAGGAAGAGGGGGAGAAAGAGAGAGAGAAGGCGAAGGAGAGAAAGAGAAGGAGGAGAGAGAGAAAGAATGAGAAAGAGAGAAAAAGAAGAGTAAGGAGAAAGAGAGAAGGAGAAAGAGAAAAAGAGTGGTAGAGAGAGGAAAAGAAAGAGAGAGGGGGGAGAGAGAAAAATAAGGATAAGGAGAAAGAGGGAGAAGGAAAAGGAGAGAAAGAAAGAGAAGGAGAGAGAAAGAAAGAGAGAGAGAAAGGAGACAGCAATAGAGAGAGGAAGAGGAAGAAGAGAGAGAAAGAGGAGAGAGAGAGAGAAAAGAAGAAGGAGAAAGAGAGAGGAGAAGGAGAAGAAGAAGGGAAGGAGGGAAGGAGGGAGAGAAATAAAATCTGCTAATATCAATACTTGGATAATCATTCAAATATTTCCACATAGTTTTGATATCCTAAGCCTCCAATTAGTCAACTAACATAATCTAAGAGATTATTGCCTGCCTGGTTGCCTCAGGAGGGAATCTTTGAAGAAGCAGAATTAAAATAATCCTTCTCGACCCGCAGGTCACGTCTTCAATATGTTGCACGACGACGACAAACACTGCAAGGAACTAAACCGTCACAGCAAAACCCGCCACATGATGGCGTCCATCATGTCTCCGGTCAATCCTGACGAGATGTGGTCCCCGTGCAGCGGCCGCTTCATTACCGACTTCTTGGACAACGGCCACGGTACGATTCGGTCTCTCCTCTCGTCCGTATCGCGTCCATTCTCGGCCCGCCATTCTCCTTAAACTTTCCGATGCCTGGGTATTTATTTATAGGGTGGGAAACGTCCAGACTAAATGTTGGATTTCCCCCCTTACTAGAGAGAGAGAGCCCCCTTGTGGAGTAATGTGAAGCCGTTACTGTGGCAACTCCACAGCGCTGTACACTAGAATCCATTTTAAGGCGGTACAGTAGAAGCCATTTGAAGTCACAACAGGCTGTATCTTAACAGAACACACACCCTGAGGACTATTAGGGGTATCTTACCCCCACAGTATTTCTCTCCAGAGAGTAAGTCATCTGTGTACCAAATTTGGCCGAACTTGCTCAAGGCGTTCCAGAGTTATGCTGAAACACACACACAAAGACACACACACACACACACACACACACACACACACACAC